AAAAGACACACACCACTCAGTCATGAAACTATATACATAAAATAATTTTAAAAGCTTTGTTTGTTTGTTTATATGCATGAGTGCTATTTATTTATTTATTTATTCATTCATTCATTCATTCATTCATTCATTCATTCATTCATTCATTCATTTATGTGCAAGGGTGCTCTTGTCTTCTCACCAGAAAGGGCATCAGATCCCATTACAGATGTTTGTGAGCTACAATGTGGTTGCAGGAAATTTCAGGATTTCTGGAAGAGCAGCTAGTGCTCTTAACCATTGAGCCATCCATCTCTCCAGCCCACATAAAAGATCATTTTTAAAAGCTAGGTGTGGTGGTTCATGCCTGCAATCTCAGCACTCACCAGGTTAAAAGAGAAAGAGATTCAGAACAACCTGAGCAAAGACTCTTTAATGTGGATGTGTATGCGAGTTCCTCCTGTGGCTTCTGTGGAGTTTCTCCCTTACATGAAAGGTCCCTTTTTTTTTTTTAAGATTTATTTATTTATTTATTTATTTATTTATTTATTTATTTATTTATTTATTTATTTATTATTCATCCAGTACTCTGCCTGCATGTATGCCTGCTGGCCAAAGGAGGGCACCAGATTTCATTATAGATGCTTATGAGACACTGGGAATTGAACTCTGTCAGGACCTTTGGAAGAACAGCCAGTGATCTTAACCTCTGAGCCATCTCCCCAGCACCAAAAGGTCCATTTTAGTCTCATTATTAAAGACACTGAAAGCTGAAACAATTTCAAATGGATCCAAACATTAAATTCCCCTAACTTGTAAGCCGTTCTTTTACAGAGTAAGGAACTCAAGGCTTCCACAAGAATAATGGTGACTATTCTGGCTGCCCTGCTGAGGAACAAAACTAGGGCATGACAATATGCTAAACAAACCTAGAACTAGATTAATTTTTTAAGTAAATGTACAAACTAAAATTATAGCTCAACATACTGGGCTATCTATAAAAGCACTTAAATACCTTGTGCACATTTTTAAAAACCCTTCCCTGAAATGAATGGTTCAGTGAACATAATCAAATGTTCAGCGAATTAACAAATATTAACTAACAAAAGATACAGCAATGTCTAAGATCTTGCTCAAAATTCACTCTCTTGTTCCCTGACCATAAAAAGTACAGGTGAGAAAAAGGAAGGAAAGAAAGCTGTCCTGCAAAATCTTTCTAAAAAGCAGTCGATTTTCTTGACTTAGCAATAGCTAGTCCTACAAGTTTATGACAAGAGAAATAACTGAAGATTACATACAAATATTTTTTCATTGGAAAAATTCAGATATAGCTAACTCAAATAATTTTAATTACAACTTTTAAAACAATCAAAATGAAACTGGGTGTGGTGGTGCATGTCCTTAAGGCCAGCACTCAGGGAGGGACAGGTAAGCAGATCTCTGTGAGTTTGAAGCCAGCCTGGGTCTGCAGAAAGAGTTCCAAGACAGCCAAGGATACACAGAGAGACCATGTCTCGAAAAACCAAAACATAAAAATGAAAGAAACATTACGGCACCAGGATATAAAGAATATTATATACTTATTTAGTAAACTTTGAAAAAGTAGATGATGACCTGAGAACTTTCAGTTGAAGAACAAAATACTGTAAATACATCTACCTCTTTAAGAAACACACAGTGAGGCTGCAGAGATGGCTCAATTGTTAAGATCACTTGTTGCTCTTGCAGAGAACTGGGGCCCAGTTCCCAACATCAACATGGGCCGACAATCTTCTGTAACTCCATCTGAAACCCTCTTCTGACCTCTGTGAACACCAGGCACACAGGAAGTGCCCAGACATACATTCAGGCGAAACACTGACATACATAAAATCAAATTTTAAAAAAAAAGTGATCTTCAAAAACTTTTAATAGCAAAACAAAAATGTAAAAGCTTAAGAGTATACACTAAAAAGCAAAACAGGGCTGGAGAACTGGCTCAGGGGTTAAGAGCACTGTCTGCTCTTCCAGAGGTCCTGAGTTCAATTCCCAGCAACCACATGGTGGCTCCTATCTGATCTGGTACCCTTTTCTGGCCTGCAGGCATACATTCAGGCAGAATATTGTCTACAAAATAAATAAATAATTCTTTAAAAAAAAAATAAATAAAAAGCAAAACAAAACTTTGGCCTATTATTCTAGTCTATCTTTCAAGAGTTCCAAAGTGGCAGTATGAACCTAAGCCAATAATTTTTTTTTTCAAAGACTATACAGCGTGCCCATGGTTCTGAAAGATGGAGACAGATGGAAGAACATGAACTGGTCAGCAAAGTGGAGGGAGCAAAATACTCACAGAGGGGCTGAGGCGAAGAAGGAAGGCTAAATCTTCTGGGCAGAACCCCAGAGAGGCGCCAGGTCAGTGACCGATGAACGAGGAAGGTCAGTAGTGAGAAGTGGGACTGAAAACATCTGTCATAGCAAGAAGTCAAGAGAGAATGTCTAAAGTTGATAAACCAAAAAAATAGACACTGTAAACATATTATTTAGAAGCATGGAGTAAAACCCCCAGGAAATCTGAACCAAAAAGGTTTTATGAAAGCAGCTGTCCCTATAGAGCAGCACTCTTTGATAGCAGTTTGGTAGAATTACAGGTATTTGATTTTTAAGCTAATATTCATAATACTGATTTTTTAAGCTTTTCTTTTTAATTTTACATTTTCTTCATTTTGCTTGAATACACAACCATAATTTTACTTCCTAAATCACAGCTATAACTTATTTGACAGTGTTATTTACCTATAAAGTGTGCAATTATCAAAGAAATCTACTGTAATTTGACCAGAATTTCTTCCTATCACAAAACAGACACAAAATAGGAGTATTGCTAATAAAAGTATCATTTCAGTTATAAAACACTGGCTTAAATGTTTATACTTGAGGTGCCGGGCAAAATACCTTTCTTACTGGGCTTTTGTTTATTTGGGGTTTTTTGCTTGTTTTTGGAAACAGGGTTTCACTGTATAGCTCTGGCTGTCCTGGAACTTGCTCTGTAGACTAGGCTGGCCTCAAACTAAGAGATCCACCTGCCTCTGCCTCTTGAGTGCAGGGATTAAAGACATGCACCACCATTGCTTGGTCTTCCTTACTATTTCTGTATTAGTCTAGTAGCCAGAGAAAACCCCATAAAACCCAAATCATGATGCTTCTCATATGATGAGGGCCTAACAAGGTCCTTCAGAATTTACCAGCATCCCACTCCAACCTTCTGTCTCTGGGTTCAGCTACATTTTCCTGGAACACTCGAGCTTATTATATCCTTTGCAGATGCTGTGTCTGTAGTACCCTTTACACATTCATTCCTTCACTGAACATTCTTCAATCAAATGTCACCTTAACTTTAACTCATATTCTTAGAAAATTTTATTCCCCATTCCTCTTTTACTTCCCACTTAGTATTCTACTACATTTTTATTAATATTTTAAAACTATGTTTCATTCTTTTACTCTACCTAGAATGCTAGCTCTAAAGGAATATGAATTTTTGTTTACTGAAGCCCACGGATCTATTATTTCTGACAATAAGTGTTTAATGAACTAACAGTTAAAAATAAAAAAAGATGCTGGGCATGGTGGCACATGCCTATAATTCCAGCACTCAGGGAGGCAGAGGCAAACAGACAGACAGATGTCTATGAGTTCGATGCCAGCCTAGTCTACAAATTGAGTCCAGGACAGCCAAAGCTATACAGAAAACTCCGTCTCGAAAAACACCAAAAAACTAACATCATAGGAAGAAACCGCATTATTGATAATTAAGTAAAATAGATTAGATCCCTTAAGAAATCCTGGGAAGCATATTTGCATCTCAGAGGAAAGGAGACTGAAAAAATGAGCACAACTTTGCTCACTGGAGGACCTGTTTCCTCAACAGATGAGATGACCTTTTTATTTAAAGTCGCAGTAATACTCTCACTCATTAACCACAACTTGACATGGCCTCAATGTCCACTATTGACTTCAACTCTGAATAAAGATCAGGAGCACACTGTTCATCTTTATTTTTTTTCCCCCCAGAACCACATAAAGAGCAAACTGGTATTCAGGAGAAATTATTACAGATCTTTTCATTGTGGTCCACATTGATGACAGAGAAATACATCAGTCATAATGTCAAAGAATTTCATCTACTCTACACAGTAACTTGTGAAATAAAAATTTAGACAGGCTGAAGTGGCGCATGCTTTCAATCCCAGCACTCAGGATGCAGAGGCAGGCGGGTCTCTATGAGTTCGAGGCCAGCCTGGTCTACAAAGTGAGTTTCAGGATAACCTGGGTGCTATTACAGAGAAACCCTGTCCTGAAAAATAAAACAAAAAAAAAAAAAAAAAAAAAAAAAAAAAAAAAAAAAAAAAAAAAAACAAAACAAAAACTTTTAATGATTAATTATAAGAAAAAAGAAATTAACCACTCTTTACTGATACACAGAAATACACGTGATAAGTACATACCAAGTACAAAAAGCACTTTATACATGTTCAGAAAGAATTATCATTAAGCTTTTTCCAGATCTCTTGTCATTAACAAAACACAGTATATGACACAAAGACTTGATCAAAATCATTTATTAATAATTTATTTTGTATTCTTGGAGAACAGATTTTGGCATGGCTACTCTGCAACTATTTTGAACTCATCTTCCCAAAAACAACATAGCTTTACCTTCTTTTTTCCATCACAAGTAGTAAAAGCATTTGTAAATAAAAGGTAAATTGAAAAGCCTGCTCACAGACATACATAACAAAAATGGAATGAAGTAGTAAAACAAAGCAGTCCTGATATTGATGAAAACAAACTTAGGAAAGATTATCAAGAAAATAGCATACATCAGAACAGAACAAAGAAAGAAAAAAATAATGAAATGGAAAACTGGAAATGAAGATGAGCAATTATAAAACTAATGCTCAAGAAAGAAATCCAAAAATTAAAGCATAGTAAAAGATATCCAAGGAACTCTCCTGAACCCACAGATTGAAATGGCTTACCATTAACAGGAAAATGTAACAGAGAATCACACCAAGACCAGTACATTCTGATGAAGTTACTGAACTTCAAGGATAAAGAAAGAAATTTGCCAATACCCAGGCAGAAGTAGGTCACCTACAAAGGGAAAAAAACAGTCAGGCTGGCTGGCCCCAGACTTCTCTATAGTAACACTATGTGCCAAAAGACAAGGGAACAGTCTGTTGAGTATTAAGGGAAGGGAAATGTAGCTCCAAATTCTATAACCAGACAAAACACCCTTTCACTTTAAAAGTCATGTTTAAAAGTATTTCAAACATAAGAATGCTGAGAATATAGCATTCAAGCAATCACTCTCAGAAAATCTATTATACTGAAGTGTATTAAGGCTTCAGCATTACAGTAATAACCACAGGTCTTCTATGAACTACCAAGTTCAGCAGTTCTAAAATGCACTGTTTTCATATTTTAGCTTATCTGAAATCACATGCACATTACAAATGATGTCATGGTTTGACAGCATTTAACCATGTTAGCAGTTTATCACATCTTATTAGCTTTATTACAAAATAGTAAAGCATTCAAAAACTGATGGTATCCTAAACAAAATGATATAAAGTATGTTTGTAAGATGAGAAGAATGAGAGCAAATTACAAAGTAGTTTTAAAAGATGATGAAAACCAAACAGAGATACAGCTAACAACAACAAAAAGTCTAGTATTACAGAAGTAAACCCATATACACATTATGTGAATGAGTAACAGCATCTTAAATTGGGTCCAAAAAGACCAACCTTGATCCAACTATAGAGGGTCTACATGAGACAAACCTAAACAGGAGACTTTGAAAAGTTAAAAGTAAAAGGTTAAACCAAAGAGTGAATCAATCAGGCAGATATAAACACTTTTAAAACTCGTTAAATTAAAAATGAAACATTAAAAGAGCTAAAAGACAGTCACTTTTCCTAGTGATCAAAATTAAAATCTAGCCAGACATAGTAGCCTACAACCTCTTATCCCAGCACTCTAGAAGACGATGATCCAGAGTTTAAGGCAATACGGATCCAACATGGTAAAACCTTCAAAAACAACATTTTTTAAGATCCATAACCTAGCTGGGAGTGACGCACAGGACTGTGATCCTAGCACTCAGGAGACAGAGGGAGGCGGATCTCTGAGTTCAAGGACAGCCTGGTCTACAGGGTGCTATTGCAGAGAAACCCTGTCTTGAAAAATAAAAACAAAAAAAAAATAAATAAAAAAGATCTCCAAACAAAGTACTTTCAACTGATCATAAAATGAAAATTAAGTATTGAGCACTCAATTACATGGTAGAAAATAAAAGGCTAAAATTCATACTAAAGGAATTTTAAAATGTCTTAAATAACTCAGGGAGCAGATGCTAAGAACTGGATGCTAAGAGTGGATGGATGTCAGAGGACTTGTGGAAGTTAGTTCTCTCCCTCCACCATGGGGGTTCCAAGCCATGGTTCAAACTTGGCTTGCAAGGCTTGGCAGCAAACACCTTTATCTATTGATCCATTTCTTTGTGAGCCATCCCATGTAGGTGCTAGCAACTGAATTCCAATTCCCCGAAAGAATTCAACTTTCTATTACAGTTACAATTTTTCTAGAAGAACCTCTATCTAGATACTAAAGAAAACTAAACACCCTTCAAGACCTTAAAAATTATCTTATTTTGGATTAAAACTATGAAACTCTGTCTTTCAAGGATATGCTGTAATATTCTAGGTAGGTGGCACCTGTGGTGGCCAGCACCTTGGCAAAGAAAAGATGACTAGAAGTTCTGGACTCATTCACCTGACCTGAATTTCCAAAAGTGACTAAAATAAACTAGCTATAGGAATCACTTTGTAATTTTACAAGCAACACATTTCAAATAGCAAATCTCAGTTACCTCTTCAAATGTTAGCTACAGTGACTGAAGAGATTGGTAAGTAGTTAATGTGTACTTGTGTTCCATAATAATGACTTTACAAATATTAACAGTGAGCGGAAATTAGCTCAGTAGTAAAAAGCAGCAAGTGTCTTCATCTGCCCCCTGTGGGCAGGCAGACATGCAGACACACACAGAAACACACACAATAATATACATTTTTAAATTTCTTTGTATTATTTGCATTTATGTGCTTTCATGTGTGTGCTATGGTTATGCAGGTGTCCAAGGAGGAGAAAAGAGGGTGCCAGATCTCCTGGGGCTGAGTTACAGGCAGTTATGAGCTGCCTGACCATGGTGCTGGGGCCAGGTTCTTCGCAAGAGCAGCAAGCCGTCTTAACCACTAAGTCATATCTCTAGCCCCATAAAAATAAATCTCGGGGGGAAAACAAATACTGGCTAATGGTCATGAAAAGCCTCTATTCATGCCCTAAACTGTTTCCATATTCTAAATATTTAATCTTAACTCTCTACCCATATAATAACATCTCTCTTGTTGCTTTAGATCATGCTTTTAGCTAAATAAAGCTTCCAAAACAGGTTTGTTTTTTTTTTTTCAGAGAAACTGCCTCAAAACTTCCATTACCAACCCCCCCATGTCAATCATTCCTCCTCCACTAAATTCAATCTCAATGTTTAATATACTAACAATTCTGCAACTTTATCAAAACAAAAACGAAGCAACCTAACACCAGGTGCTTCTTTTTGCCCTTTGAGGTACAGAGTTGTTTTTCTAGATTCACTTTCCTCTCATTCTCTCAGCTCAGAGCAATGAAGCTTTAGCCTACTTCACTGAAACTGCCTTCCTCAAAGGACCACTCATCTCCAGTGGCAACTTCACCCCTACCTTACCTGACCTCTATGTGAAACTTTCTTTGCTTGAACAACCAAATGTTTTTGTTTTGTTTTGTTTTTTTGTCACCATTTCCCATCCTACACCAGTTTCTTTAACTCTTAAAGCTAGTACACAACTGCGCGTGGTGGCACATGCCTGTGATCCCAGCACTAGGGAAGAAGAGACAGGCACATCTCTGTGAGTTCGAGGCCAGCCTGGTCTACAGAGTGAGTTCCAGGATAGCCAAGACTACACGAGAAACCCGTCTCAAAAAAAAAGAAAAAAAGAAAAAAGAAAAAGAAAGCTAAAGCACAAATTTTTTGTATCTACTGCTTATTTTTCTATTGAACCCATCCAGCCTCGAGAAGGAAAGGGAGAGAAAGAGAAACACAAACAAACGAGAGAGACAGACAGACAGTGAGACAGAGCTGTTAACAATGCCCTGGTTTATATAGTTTCAAGCCATACCTGGAGTTTGCTGAATCCCAGGCCAAACCAACTTGCTCCTTTTTAACTCTAATTGGCAATTCAAATTTGGCAAACTCAAAAACTAAGCCACTGATAAAGCTTTACTTGTTCCTTTCCAAGTTAAATAATGTCAATTCAATCCTTTCATTTACTCAACTAAAAAGCTTCAAATCAGAGCAGATGGCGCAGTGGTTAAAAGAACATAGTGCTCTTGCAGAAGGCCTGACTGGAGTTCAACTTCCAGCACTCACATAAGGTGGTTCTCAATTGCCTGTAACTTCAGCTCCTAGGTATCTAAACCCTTCTAGCTTCTTTAGGCACTTGCAGATACATAAGCACAGCTATGAATACACGTAACTTAAAAAAAAAAAAAAACTTTTAAAAAAGAAACCTTAAAATAATTCTTAATGCATTCTCCACTCCACCACCCTCCACAACAAATCTCAATCAATAAATCCTAATAACTAAATCTAGGAAATATACCCAAGAACATATTCACTTCTCAGCTGATGTATTTAAGTGTGACGAACAATCTTTTCTCTGTTTCTGCCACAGCCCTGCTCTGTTGCAGTCTATATACTCAGCACAGTGAGTCAAAGAATGAACCTGTAAAAATGTCACTCCTGTGTATGATTGTGTCACTTCTAATGGAAACACCTCTAATAGGTCTCACTGAAAGTAAAGGCCAACACTTTCATCCACTAACACCAAGACTCTTTCCTTCACTTTCAGCTGCCCCAGTCAGAGGAAGCCCCTCTGCCCACTCTAGGGCTTTTATGCTTGTTACTATCTCTACCTAGAAAGCTAGTCCTTCGAACAATCAACATGTCACCCCCTCAGCACACCCACATGCCCAATTTTATTTTCCCTGAAGAATACTTATCAGTAACGGGTTTGATCTTTTAACTTAATTGTCAGGCTTACTATCTCTCTTATTCTAGCAAGAACTGTATGTGCTATTCATTAAAAATGTTTATAAGATTTTTTGTTAAATTTGGAGTTAAATCTAAGATTCATTTTACATATCAGAACTTTAGTGCTAGCAAGTCAAAGTTTCACATGATCCTATGACTTAAGATATCAAGACTAGAACAAGACCAAGCAAACCTTGGCCTATATATGAGAAAGGTTTTCAAACTTCTTTTGTCTTTTTTTTTTTTTTTTTTTTTTTTGGCAGGAGGTGGGGGTTCCACTGGCAAATTTCTCTCAACTGCGACAGATAGTCCCAGGGCTTTTGTCTCTAGAGTTGTTATCTCTGGGGAAAAAAAATGGCAATGGTCATCAGGATTAAAATATATGTGAGTGAGTATGTGAGTGAGTGAGTGAGTGGATGTGGGTGTGTGGGTGTGTTGTTTCTAAATCGAAAAATATCTAAATGTTGTTTCTAAAACAACACTAAGGCTTTCATTTAAGATAGGGCCAATTTACTACTCAAAAGTAAAATAGATTTGTTAATATGAGGAATTAATAGGAAATAAGTAGTGACAAAAAAAACCCATTCAAGAAATATTAGAGATCTTTTCTTAATTTCTTAAATCATAATTGTTTATGTTTATGATGTGTGTGAGTGCCACTGGGAAAGGAATTTCTGTAGTGTAAAGTGCAAAAACAGCACTATCTTTTTTTTTTTTTTTTTTCACAATTTCACAAACTGAATTCCTAACCAGGTATCTAAACAATCTAAGCATTATGATTTTCCTTTCTTTATTAAGTCAAAAGCTTTTTGTTTGTTTGTTTTGTTTTTTGAGACAGGGTTTCTCTGTGTAACCCCGGGCTGTGGCGAAACTTGCTCTGTAGACCTTGAACTCAAGAGCTCTGCCTGCCTCTTCTGCCTTCTGAGCACTGAGATTAAAGGCGTGCATCAACACCCTGCCAGAC